GTGCCTCCCACCCTCCCACATAAGTGAGAAAAGCACAACTTTAATATACAGTTCAAAGTAAAGAAATAGGCTGGAAAAATAAGCAAACAACAGAAAAGAACTTGATCATAAAAAGCTACTACAGTGACAGGCAAGATCAAGACACAAATTCCAAAAAAACATCAACATGAAAACAGCTATAAGAAAAGCCTTAAAACGCAAATTAGATACAAATCCAAGAATTCTTGGAAGAACTAAAAAAATTGCAATCAATGAATCAAGTAAGAGTGGCAGAAGAAAAACTGAGAAAAGAAATGACAGCTATGCAAGAAAATTATGAAAAGAGAATTAATGACTTGGTAAAAGAAGCACAAAAATACTGAAGAAAATAACATTCTAAAAAACAGAGTTGCCCAAATGGTAAAAGAAACCCCAAAATTAACTTAATGATTCCCTAAAAATTAAAATTGGGCAAATAGAAGCTAATGACTCTAAGAGACAGCAAGAAATAAAACAAAGTCAAAAAGAATGAAAAAATAGAAGAAAATGTGAAATATCTCATTGGAAAAATAATGAACCTGGAACCAGATTGAGGAGACAATTCAAGAATTACTAGACTACCTGAAAATCATGAGCAAAAAAAGAACCTAGACATCATCTTTCAAGAAATTTATAAAGGAACACTGCCCTGATATCTTAGAACCAGAAAGTAAAATAGAAATAGAAAGAATCTACCTACTGACAAAAATTCCAAAATGAAAAATCCCAGAAACACTGTAGACAAATTTTAGAGCTCCCAGGTCAAGGGGAAAATATTATCAGGATCACACAAAATTTTGCAGCTTCCACATTAAAGAAGTAAAGGGCTTGGAATATGATATTCCAGCAGGCAAAGGAGCTAAGATTATAACCAAGAATAAGCCATCCAGCAAAAGTGATCATAATCGTTCAGTGGAGAAATGAACATTTAATGAAATACAGGGCTTTCAAGCATTCCTGATGAAAAGACCAGAGCTGAATAGAAAATTCAACATTCAAACACAAGACTCAAAGAGAAACACAAAAAGGTAAACATGAACAAGAAATCTTAAGGGTCTTAATAAGGTTAAACTGCTTATATTCCTATAAGGGAAGATAATTTAAGTAATTCTTAAGAACTCTGTCATGATTAGGGCAATTAGAAGGAGTCCTAACAAATTCCTTCTATGACACAAATATGGTTTTGATACCTAAACCAGAGACAGCAAAAACAGAGAACAAAAACCACAGACCAATTTCCTCTAGTGAATATTAATGCAAAAATTTTAAATAAAATACTAGCAAGGAAATTATAGCAATATATCACAAAGAGCATATACTATGACCAGGTGGGATATGCACCAGGAATGTAGGGCTGGTACGCTATTAGGAAAACGATAAGCGTAACTGACCATATCAATAAAAAAAACCAACAAAAATCATATGATCATGCACCGATAGATGCAGAAAAAGCTTTTGACAAAATATAATTCCAATTCTTATTAAAAACACTAGAAAGCGCTGGAATAGAGTCTTTATTAAAATGATAAGTAGTATCTACTTAAAACCAAGAGTAAGCATGATCTGTAATGGGAATATGCTAGAAGCCTTCCCAATAAGATAAGGGTGAAGCAAGGATGTCCATCATTACCACTATTATTCAATATTGTTCTAGAAATGCAAGCTATAGCAATAAGACAAGAAAAAGATGTTGAAGGAATAAAAATAGGCAACAAGAAAAAAAAAACTATCTCTCTTTACAGATGATACAATGGTAGGCCTAAAAAAACCACAGAGAATCAACTGAAAAATTAGTTGAAATAACTTCAGCAAAGTTGCAGAATATAAAATAAACACACATATCAGTATTTCTATATATAACTTACAAAACACAGAAGGAAGAGATAGAAAATTTCCATAACTGCAGATAATATAAAATACTTGGGAGTCTACCTGCCATGACAAATCCAGGAACTATCTGAACACAATTACAAAACACTTTTCACATAAATAAAGGCAGATCTAAAAAACTGGAGAAATATTAGTTTTTCATGGGAAGACTGAGCTAAAATAATAAAAAATGACAATGCTACCTAAACTAATTTACTTATTTAGTGCCATACCAATCAAACTACCAAAGAATTATTTTATAGCTCTAGAAAAAATAACAAAATTCATTTGAAGAACAAAAGGTCAAGAATATCAAGGGCATTAGTGAAAATAATGAGAAGGAAAGTGGCCTAGCAGTACCAGATTTCAAACCACAAAATAAAGCAATAATCATCAAAATCTAGTAGTGGCTAAGAAACAGAGCAGTGAATCTGTAGAATAGATTAAGTACACAATACACTGTAATAAATGACCATAGTAATCTAGTATTTGATAAACCCAAAGATCCAAACTTTTGGGGCAAGAACTCATTATATGACAAAAATTACTGGGAAAACTGGAAAGCAATTTGGTAGAAACTAGGCACAGACCAACATCTCACACTGTATACCAAAATAATGTCAAAATGGGTAAGACTTACACATCATAAGCAAATTAGGGTCACATGGAAAATGTCAGATCTATGGATAAAGGAAGAGTTTATGACCAAAGAAGAGAGAGAGGATCACAGGAAGCACAATGAATAATTTTGATTATATTGAATTAAAAAGGTTTTGTACAAACAAAATTAATGCAGCCAAAAGTAGGGAAACTGGGAAAAAAAATTTACATAAAGTTTTTTTGATAAAGGCCTTATTTCTCAAATATATAGGGAACAGAATCAAATCTATAAAAATCAGAGCCATTCCTCAATTGACAAATGGTCAAAAGATATGAACAAGCAGTTTTCAGAAGAAATCAAAGCTATCTATACTTACATGAAAAAATCCTCTAAATCACTATTGACTAGAGAAACACTAATTAAAACAACTCTGAGGTACCATCTCACACCTATAAGATTGGGTAACATGATAGAAAAGCAAAATGATAAATGCTGGAGGGGATGTAGGATAATAGGAACACTAATGCACTCTTGGTGGAGTTGTGAACTGGTCTAACCATTCTGAAGAACAATTTGGAACTATGTGCAAAAGGCTATAAAACTGTGCATACCCTTTGACCCAGCAACACTACTACTAAACCTGTATCCCAAAGAGATCAAAGAAAAAGGAACAGAATCTATATAGACAAAAATAGCAGCTCTTTTTGCGGTGGCAAAAAATTGGAAATTGAGGGAATGCCCACCAATTGGGGAATGGCTAAACAAGTTGTAGTATATAATCGTGGTGGATTATTATTGTGCTATAAGAAGTGACAAGGGGGGTAGTTTCAGAAAAATCTGAGAAGTTACATGAACTGATGCAAAGTGAAGTAAGCAGAACCAGGAGAACACTGTACAAAGTCACAGCTATACTATAATGATAAACTGTGAAAGACTTAGCTACTCTGATCACTACAGTGATCCAAGAGAATTCTGAAGGAGTCATGATAAAAAATGCTATTCACCTCCAGAGAGAGAACTGATGAACTGAGTGAGAATTGAAGAATCAATTTTTCACTTTCTTTCTTTATTTTTTTGGGCAACATGGCTAATGTGGAAATGCTTTGTATGACTTCACAGGTATAACAACTGATATCATACTGCTTGCCCTCTCAAAGGGTAAGGAGAGGGGATGGAGGAAGACAGAGAATTGGGAACTCAATATTTTTTAAAAAATGAATTCTCAAAATAAATAAATAAATGATAGATTTTTAAAAGCAAGAGAACACATACCTCACAGGCTTATCATGAAGAGCAAATGAGATATCAAATGCAAAGCATTCTGCAAACCCTAAAATACTACATAAATGCTAGCTATTATTAAGAAACTTTTCTTGGGGCAGACAAAAAGGGCTTAGAGAAAGGAGATGTGATAACAAGATGATAGGTGAAATAATTCAGAGGAAGGATAAAAAACTACTGTGTTATGATGTAAGGGGGCTACAAAAGAGTATTTTCTATCTAGAACCAGAAAGCTGAATCTAATGTCCAGTAAGAAAAGACAATGGCAACAAAAAACAATTATTGTTTCTCATCTACACATTCCTATAATATCTAACATTTATATAGCACTTTATGGCTTATAGAATACTTTGCCTATTATCTCATTCGATCCCCACAACAATTCTAGGAGGTAGGTGCTATTTTTATTCCTATTTTACAGATGAGAAATCTGAGGCACAGAGAGGTTATGTAACTTGCCCAGAGTCACATGGGATTTGAACTCGGATCTTCATGACTCTTTACTCTATACACTGTGCCAACTAGCTGTCCACAGAGCATGGGTTCTCACCCTGGGGCGGGGGCTGTGAACTTATGTTTTTGTTTTAATAGTTTGATAACTTTATTTATAATTTGCTTTCTTTGTAATTCTAATTATTTTATTTTATGCATTTTTAAAACATTATTTGGAGGTGTCCATAGGCTTCACCAAACTACCAAAGGGTTCTGTGACAAAAACAAAGTTAAGATCCTCTGATACACAGTATTTAAGTTTACAAAATTTTCTACCTCACAACAACCATGAAAAAGTAGGTAGTGAAGAATTATTAACTTCATTTTACAAATAAGGAAATTGAGGCTTAATAGTATAAGATTCTCAAACCTGACCATGTGTTCAGGGATAATGGACTAAACTGGTTGGTGGAGGATCTGGGTTAGAATCGTTACGAGTCAGAATAACATATTTAGTTACAGTAAGCTAATTTCAGTAATAAGACTCTATCTATGTATCTTGTACCTATGTGCCTAATGACATGTTTATCTTTTGTACTCCACACAACTTAAAAATGTCTATAACCTGAACCAGCTTCCTGAGCTTATGTTGTGCTCAGGACTCACAGTGTAAGAGTTCCCCAGGGTGGGCTCTACATAGGACTTCTGATGGTAGTTGATTATTAGCAGAACAGTAAAGTTTTACAACTTATTGGTTGGTTAGTCTAACACATTCAGTGAGATATGCCAGTCTACTTACTGCTCGGACACGTTTTAGACGCTCCTCTAATTTCTCCTCTGCTTCTCGCGTCCGCTGGACAGCCTCCAAGCGATTGATAAGCTCCGCTGCAAACTTTTGTGGTTCAACACGGATTTCCTTTGGCATTCGGTAAGTGCGCTAGAAGGTAAAAAGATGGATTAACCACAGTTGAAGTTTTATATACCACCCCACTTACTGACTGATCACCTCTCTATGTCAGGTGCACTCTTCCTTTCTCTTGCTAAATTTGCTTGTTTTCTCATTTGTAAAATAAATTAGAAGATGATCTCTGAAGCCCCTTCAACCTCAAAATTATATAACTCTCCTCTTCCATTCATAAAGCCACTCATAAATTTCTTTTCTGTAATAAATCCATGTTCAGTTCAAAATAGCAAATTGCTCTGGTTATGGAAGACAAATAGATTAACAGTTTCAGAAAAGATATGGTTTGAAGGACAGGCAACAATAAGAATGCTAGTGTCACATCAGAACAACAGTGAATAAAGATGAACAGTGGATGAATTAACTGCTGCTGCACTATCAAATAAGGTATCCTGGGATATTAGCATGTAAACATGATATATAAACGAATGAAACCTTATGGTTATGAATGGTCTGCAGTGGGCAAAGAACAAAGCAAAAGGAAGATTTTCTACTAAAACTTCACATGTAATATGAAACACAATGCAGCATGAATGTGATACAGGAAAAGCAAGATGTCTTGGTTTTAGGTCAAAGAAGACAGCTAAGTGGCTAAAGTTTTTGCTCCTAATTCCTGTTTTCAGCAATTTTGCTGCATTTTGCAAAGGACTCTTGCCTTATTACTTTGCTAGGGGTATAAACCAGGTTGAGTACACTTGTAACAGGTGCTCCTTCAAAAAAAAAAAAAAAAGTCAACAGTTAGGCTAGAAGGGACCTTTGGGGTCCCTCTACTCTACGACAAAAATGGAGTAATCTGCTTCTGAATCACGTAAAAAGTTTTCTGGTAGCCTGGCCTAGGATATTAATCATTGCTCAATTTGTTGTATTCCTGTCTCTTTAAGAGAGATGCAGTTTGTATTATCTCCGGAGAAAATTACCTCTAAGTTGCTCACTAGTATTTCTCAAGGAAAAAGCAAAAGGATCTGACCCAAGGCAGTAAAAGAATAATATTCTGTAACCAGAAGAAGCTCACAGGGGGATAGCAGAACTGTGGCTCTCCTACAGGAGCTGTTCTGGATCTCTGGCTCTGAAAGTTACTTGACTTGAAGCTCCTCCCACTGTTTCTGAGTCGGACAATTTTGATTCTAAATTTCTTACGCCATCTTATAGGGAAAATCTAACACAGCTTGAGTCTAGTGAGGATTATGTGTCCTACTTGTTCCCCTTCTGTTCATCTGCTTGCTAGAGAACCACCAAGTTGAGCACAGGATGCCAAACAACAGCAACATTTACTTTTTCACTTACAGGATCAAATGAGATAATATTTGTAAAGCACTTAGCACAGTGCCTAGTACAAAGCAGGCTTTTGAAAGAGATACTTTTTACCTTTATTTTCCCTTCCTGTGTGAATCCATCCTCTCCAATTTAATAAATTCAATTAGAGCTACCATAGAACAAATGTATAGAAATGAAGACCCATATTTCCTGTCTGCTTCAAAAGAAGAGTAAGACAACTGCATTATTTAACTTGCCATAACTCAATTACACCTCTATTCAATTTATTCCAAATAGTGTAATAAATGCTTACCACCCTCTCTTCCTGTATACTTTCTCTCTTTGAGTTTTCATGACACTACTCTTCCTTGGTTCTCCTCTTACCTGTTTGATTATACCTTCTAAGTCTCCTTTGCTGGCTAACCAACCATATCATATTCCCTTCATGTGTCTCACATCTCACCCTTTCCTCTATTCATACAGACACACCTTAGTTCAAGGCCTTCATCACTTCCTCTGTATATTATTTTAACAGCCTCCTAATTGATCTCTCCAACTCAAATGTCCCCATTCTAGTACATTCTAAACAATTCCCAATGTGATTTTCCTTAAGTACAGAACTAACTAGGTCATTCTTCCTACTAAATAAACTTCAATGACTTCCCACTGACTCTAAGATCACATATAAGCTCGTCTGTTTAGCTTTTAAAGAACTTCACAATCTAGCAACCTATCTTTTTCAACCTATGAGGTTGTACATTACCCCATCCCTTCAATCCAACCAAACTAGACTCCTCTCTGTTCCTCATACACAACAGTCCCCTCTCTACACCTTTTCATTGTTCATCCCCCTGGCCTAGAACGTACTCCCTCCTTACTCCACCTCATAGGATCTTTCAATATGTAGCTATAAAATAATCTTCTATGTGAAGTCTTTCCTGATCATCCCAAATGCTAGTGCCTTCCCTCCCAAATTACCTTACCTACTTTGTACTGATTCTTTCTATATTTTGCATATACTTAAACATTATCTCCAGGATGATGTCTGAAATTCTTTCTAGTCAGCAAAGAAGTACAAAACATTCATTAGCAGAGGTGGCTTACCTCCCCTGAGGGGTGTAAAATAACAGACACACACACACACACACACACACACACACACACACACACACACTCAACTCTTTTACTGAAAATTTTTTTTGGGGGTGGGGGTTAGGGGGATGAGTAATTGTTTCACAGTCCTATTTGATTTGGAGCTAAAGAGGATGTTAGAGACCAATAAGTCTAACCCTTTCATTTTTTATAGATAAGGAAAACGATGCCAATAGTTGTTAAATGACTTGCCTATGGTCACGAAGGTTAAGTAACAGCTATTCTGTGATTCCAAATGTATTGCTCTTTGCCCAATACTACTATGTTATCCTGAAATTTATAATTCTTTAGAATCAGATGCTATGATGCTGATTAAATGTTCAAAAGAAGATAGTTGGGACCAGACTTCTGCCTTTAAAAAGCTTATACTTTAAGGCAGCATATATGTGATCATACTTTATCTCCCCTATACAAATAACTTCTACTGTATTGTGCTTTGACATGTATTATCTTATTTGATCTTCCAACAACCTTCTAAGGCAGATGGGACAGAAATTATTTCCATCTCATAAATGAAAAAGCTAAGGTAGAGGTAGAATCCCTCATCTCTTTGTCATCACATAAGGCATGGAGCCAAGTGCTTTCTGATTTCAGGTCCTAAGCTTTTTCTGCTCCATCACCTCTCTTTTCTCCTTGTTTGACGATTGGATTGAACAGGAAGGTGAGGGATATTTAGAGAAGAAATAATATTCACCAGACTCCCCTATTTCACTGTGGTATGATATTCATTTGCAGTCTACAGAGATTCTACCCTTGAATCTGGAATTATTTTCCTATGAAGCTTGTCAAACAAATTTTAACTTCTTTATGCAGCTGCTAATACTTAGAATACAGCATGTTTTGGTGAATTTAGCCAAATTCCTTAATTATTTCCCTAAGATTTTTCATCATGTCATGTGCTGCTTTTAGGTAGAGCATGCAAGCACTTTTTTTTTTTTAAAAACGAGGTCAACCTCATTTTACACGAGACTACCCTTTAACCACTTTGTTTGTCAGCTGGATTTTTACAGCTTTTGCTTCCCTGCCCCTGTTTAGACCTAGCATATGTGCAGCAAACAGCTGCTGCTCTCATAGTAAAAGAGCAGAACATATAAACAGAGGTCTTTCTTGTGATCATACATATGGGATGTGAAGGGAGAGCTGCTGTGTATCCATAGGTCACACAAAAACATCAAGGAAAAAAGACACTATGCTGAAAAGCCTTTGGTATCCATAAGATGAACTCCTTAGACAATTTAAAAAAAAGTCTGAAGTAGTGCAACAGTATAAAAATGATTAACTAAGCTAATGTATTACAAAGAGATTTAAGGTATTTACAAGGAAACACCAGTTCCAGGCCTTTTTAGGCATAAGTTTATTAACATAAAAAATATGGAGAAAATGTTCACCATTGACTACCCAGGAGAGCTATGAAGGCAAGTTAGCCTCCTGGAGCTATTTCAAAAGCAGATCCATTTTCAGCAATTGCAGGTCTCACTACTCTAATTTTACAAAGATGAGCAAAATATTTACTTTCTGCTAACTAGGTATAAGTCTACAGTTTAAGTCAAATCTATCTCCATAGTTGGGCTGACATGAAGTGTCAAAATACATGGGATTATTCTAGTCTCAGGAGATAGAACAAATTTACTTCTGATATATGTAATAAAAAATGTAGTTATTTTCTGTAAATTAAAGTGAGGAAGGAAAGAAATTTAAGAAATTCTTATGAAATAGATATGTAAAGACTAAGAGAAATTTCCAGTTTGCTGGTGCAGAAGTTGTTTCAGCTTTGTAAGCATATTATTCTAATGGCAATAATGATAGTAGTGAATTCAAGCTTCCTCATGACTTCTTCCTCATGATACCCTGAATCCTTTCCCCCTCAAAGTTACTATATAACACAAAGGGAAACTAATTCTTTTATAAGTATCCACTGTAAGACTGGCTTAATTCAACTCAACAGAATAAATTATTTGTGGGTGGAAAATAGTTAAAACAGAGCTCGCTATACATATTTTATGTTTCAATTTCAGAGTTTGTAACCTATAGTTCAGGGAAGGCTTGTCAGTACCATGATCAATAGAAAACTACTATTATTTTTATCTAAGAGGTGAAGCTACTGACAGCCTTTGAAGTCACTGAATATTTACGTGGTGGCTCCCACTGTTCAGCAACAAAAAGAGGCCAATCCTTCAAATTTCATCTCTAACAAAGCAATGATTATAGCAAAAATGGTACTGAGAGAAATAAAAAGGCACCCAGACAGCCTTTTCTACAGCAACCACAAAGTAAAAGCAACCGAGTAAGTAAGGCTGAGCAACCAGGGCTAGCAAGTTTCCATAACCAGAGCTTTACACACAATTGGATGATAAAAGCAATAAAGGCTTTTTGAATCTCAAGAAAGATAATCTAATTTAGCAGGCAAAACAAATTTTTGAAAATCTTAAAATAAGAGTGACTCTGCTTAAACTTTACATATAAATAGGCAAGAAATGAAAAGCTGAATAGCCTTTTCTCTGAAGGAGGCAAATGGAAGTTCTTAATTGACTATGTTAGAGTTCAGCTATTCAAAGAAAAAGAAATCTTCCTTATTTTCATCTGAGTTCTAAATGTCACCTGTACTACTTTTCATTCCAGGTTTCAGGAATGAGAAAACTTAACATGATTAACAGCACAGATGTACTGCCAAGTCATAAGCTTAAATTGAAACAGTGATTTCTTATATTGGAGATAGGCAGAGTTCACTGGAATCCTAGGGAAACATCTCTCCATTTAAGGAAAGAGTCAATCAATATGGTGGCTAAAGTCAACACAGTCTACTAGGAATAAGGGTGAGTGGTGCGGAGTAAGAAGTATCAAAGAAAACAACTGGCTCCATGATGGATTTTAAATGGTTTGAAAATCGTTGGGGAGGGGTGGGGAGAGAATATGAGTTGAGACAGTGCTGTGGAAATTAGCTTCATAGCATAATTGGATTATAAGTTTAAGAGCTGGTAGGGTCTTTAGAGATCACTTAGGGTCCAATTCCTCATTTTATAAAGAAACTCAAAGTGAGAGAGATTAAGACTTGCCTAAGGTTATAAAGGGAGTAAAACTGGCATAGCTAGAATTTGAACCCAGGTTCTCTGGCTCCAAATCCAAAACATTTCCCCACCACACTGCATTTCACAAAAAGTTCTGCTACTTACAGGAATGTGAGGTAGTGGTACCCGTCCATTGGCTTTGACGCTTTCCTGCATCTCTCTTCGATGTTGCTTTCGGGTTCTATAAGGTGGTACTCCATCTCTATCGGGAGGAAGCATAAATCCATTAACTCAAATGAGAAATGAAATCAAATGATATATACTGGAACTGATCCCTAGATACTGATCTATGGCCAACCAACACAGACATATGATGTTTAAAATCTCTCCAGCAACGATTCAGGGGGAAATCATTTTATCCTCTAGATTAAATGAACATAAAAAAAAAAGTGAAAAGGACTAGGTGTGTGATTTCATTGACATAGGGAACTCCCAGATGAGGAAATTCTCTCTACTAATGAAGGCTGGCACGAATTATGCATCTTATAGTCTTGGAGAATTGCTGAGAACCTTAAGAGGTTAAATGACTTGCCTAGGGTCACACAGTCAATATTTCAGAAGAAGGTGAAAGGCATACAATACTACATTTCACTGTCAAGGTAAAAGTAATTTTACACAATCACAAATCTCAGAGTTGAGAAGAACCTCAGAGGTCATCTACTGTGACCTATACCTAAACAAGAATCCCCTCTCTAGCATATCTGCCAAGTGGTTATCCAACCTTTTCTTGATGACTTCTGTAACCCACTCACTATATACCTAGGCAGGCCATCCCACTTTTGGATAGCTGTAATCATTAGGAATTTTTTTTCTTTAGGTCAACTTAAAATTTGCTTCTCTGAAACTTCTACCTATTGTTTCTGGTTCTGTTTTCTGGGGCAAAGAAGAACAAATCTAATCCCTTTAACACACACAAGCCCTTCAAATACTTGTCCCTCCCAAATCTTGGTTTCTCTATGAACATTCTTTGCTTTTTTAACCTACGTGGCAAGATCTTGAAGTTCCTTCACCATTCCGATCACCTTCCTTCAGATATCCGTCAGCTTAGCAATGTCCTTCCTAAAATGTGGTATTCATAACTGAACAAAATATTCCAGATGTGGGTTTGATGCCTTACTATGGTCCAGTAGGACTATCACAGACCTGGACACCCTAACTCTCCTAATGCAGTATAAGATAGGATTAAATTTTTTGGTGATTACATCACACTGTTGACTCATATTGAGCATTATAGCCTGACAAAATCCATAAAGATCTTTTAAAATCAAGCTGTCATCTCTCTATGTTTTCCCATCTTGTAATTGGGAAGCTGATTTTTTGAACCATCTCTACCCCACCTTGCTCTTTTTCCTCTTTTTAAATAATTCTCTGTTATAAGGGTGGTTCTTAGGGAGGGGAAAGGAAAATGGGGGAATCAAAGTGATGTTAAAAGATATAATAAATATATTTTTAAAATTTTTATCTCAGTAGATTTGGCCCAATACTGTAGTGTCTGTCTCTGCCTGTCTCTCTCCACCCACCCACCCACCCACCCACATAAACACACACACACACAACTGAATGAATTAGTTATCACTCCTAGTTTTATGTCATCTGCAAAATCTGATTAGCATGCCATCTTTATTCAGGTCACTGATAAAGGTGTCAAATAATACACAGTCAAGCAAGGATTTTTGTGCCATACCATTAGATACTTCATTCCAAATTGATATTTAACCATTAACAATTACTTTTCAGGTCCAACCACTCAGCCAATTCGAAATCTGCTATTATATAAGCCCACATCTTTCTATCTTGTCTATAAGAATAATATGAGTTTTTCCAAACTCTTTGATAAAATCTAAGCAAAGTATGTCTATCACATTCCCCTGACCTATCAGTGGATTAGCTCTGTAAAACAAGAAAATGAAGTTGGTTTGGTATCAGTGATCCTGATGAAATTATGCTGGCACTTTGCGATTGTCACTTTCTTTTCTAGAATATGGGATCCTCTATAGCTGAAAGTTGGATTAGAGATTAACTAGTCTAACCATTTCATTATATACATGAGGAAATCAAGGCCCAGAAAGATTAAGTGACTTGTTCAAGTGCACACAACAAGAGGAAGAGTCAGAATTTGAACCTCAGTCCTGCGGTTTCAAGTTCAGTGCTCTTTCCACTACACCATAATCAGTCTTTTAATAATATGCTTCAGAATTTTGCTAGAAATTCAAGTCAAGTTCATTAGTCTAGTTTGCTCTATTCTCAATAGGTGATGATAACCTCCAAAGCTTGTAGACTTAACTTCACTCTTTTGAAAATTAGGACATATGCCCACTTCCAGTCTTGTGGTATTTTTCCTGATAACACTGAACTTTCCTTTTAAAAAAAAATTTTAAACCCCACCTTATTTGTATTGATATAGTTTATCTTTATTTGACAATCATTTCTGAAAATATTCTTCCCACCCTCACCAAGTGAGTCATTCCCTGCATCAGAAATTTTAAAAGGGAAAAAAGCAGTTTGATAAAACTAACCAATATGCACAAACTTTGTTTTTAAATATCTTTGTAGTTTTGAATATTTTATACTTTTTGGGGTTTTCTCCCAGTATTCTTCCCTCTCCCAGGGAGAACTTTTTCATATAAAAAATACAGGATGTAACAAAAGTTTTAGTGTACTTTTAAGCTCTAATACCTTAAAAAAAGTACCAACTTTAATAATACCTTAAAACTGTACTAAACTTTTGAGACACACTATTTTCTAAAAAAACAAAACAAAACAAAACAAAATCAACAAAACTGGTCAATACGTAGAAAAAGTGTAAAAAATATATGCAACATTCCACATTCATGGACCTCCTACAATTGCAAAAGTCTGGGGTGGGACTGTCTTTTTGAAACTCTTCTTGGGGCCATACTTGTTCTTTACAATTTTGTATCATTCACTTTTGATTGTTTTGTGGTTGTTCTTTCCATTTTCATTGTATATACTGGATTTGGTTGAGCTGCCTTTCCCATCTTTGTTTTCTTCAGTACCTCTTCCACATCCTTTATACACATTTGGGACTGTGATGTTCTCTGTTCAAACCTTCAGGACTCTGATGACTCCACAGTCTTTGATATTGAAAAGAGTTTGTCATAAAATTTTTTTCTTTTCAGATCTTTCCTGTTGTCTGTTTGTCATTCCTGTGCCAATTTTGCCCTTAAATATTCGAAGGATCACTTTTTAGGTTTCTTATTAAGTTTTCTTTAAGCTGGTTATTTCTTTGACTTCAGTTTTATGAAGTGACACTGTTCGTAATCTTCCACTTCTATTTCCATAAAGTTTTACAAATGAATTTGTATTCAAAATCAGCGTTGCTACTGGCTGCCATGTCTCTGCTTGGCTGAGTTAAGTGTTTGCTGTCTGATGTGGTGTTCTGACTTAAAAAGTGGCATATTGGTCAAACTTCTTTGCAAAATTATTGTAGTTTCTGTTTATGTCTTTTTCTCTATCCATTTCTCAATTTTTGAAGAAAAAACCTTGCTTAAATACGTTAGGGTAGAATTCTCCAAAATGAACGCCCTCTTTTTGTCCTTTTGTCTTTTACTATTCTAGCTTTGTATTAATTTTGATCTTTGCTCTGACAAGTCAGTGATCTCACTATACATAGACAGCAAGTTCAATAATGCCTCCTGTATCAGCCCTTGTTAGGAAAATTTAAAAAAATATGATAGATGTACAGAAATTCAATGTGTAGAGATCAATATATGGATATGTTTAAGAAATAATAAAATCAGGTAATATTTATAGAATGCTTTACAATGTATCCCAAAACTATTTTGAGAATAAACTATATGGGTAGTAAAGCGTGCCTTGATTAGATTATTAGAAGGGAAGTTGGTTTTTTGCCAAGAGATATTCCACAGTAGACATCATTAGAATAACACAGTTGACATAAAGTAAAATCCTACTATGCTTTTTGCTTCATGACTGTCAAAAAAAGAAGAATACAACTGATTTAATAGTCTCTCCTTAAAAGTCTTCAAGTCTCTCCTTCAAAAAGAGGTCTACCCTTAAGAACCTCTACTCAAAATTATGCAAAATGCTTTGTTTTGAAATCATTAACATCAAAGGGATACATGCTTGCCAAAGATGTCATGGAGATTCTCTATAGGTGATATCTTGCAGAAAGTTTCTGTTTGTTTGCAGATGGCACTGTGCTTGTGGAATCAAATAAGACCTTAAAATACTACACAGCCTAATGAATGAGCTCCAAAATCATGCTAAACAGTTTGGTCTAATTCTCCACGTAGGAAACAACAAGTGAAAAGAATACTTCTCTAGACCATGATATACAAGCGGATGGAGAAACTACAGAGCTCATTCAATAGCATATACTTACCATGGCCAAATCTGCAAATGGAAAATGAGTTGGGCTCAGAAACCAACACCAGAAAGGGAGTGTGGGCTAAATAACCTATGGGAAATTATACAGTTTTTAAAATGACTCCAACATTGTCTTTGAAATGAAGGCCTTAATTTTTAATACAAATAATCTGGGGATACTGTATGGCTACAAATCATGGAACAATATAGTGTCCAAAGCAATAAAATTCAAAATCTTGCAAAACACTATTAATTAGTCTGGAAAGCAATTAGGAATTATGCTAAGAAAGTAACTAGAACGTCCATACCTTTGATCCAGAGACAGTACTGTTAAGCATATGTTACAGGGACGCTGAAGATAGAAAGAATGGCCTCATATAAACTGAAATATTTACAGCATCAGGTTTTTGAAGTAACAAAGAAGGGGAAACAAAGTACGTGCTAACTGAATGAGGAATAGCTAAACAAATTGTGGTACATGGATATAACAGCACAGAATAAGAAATAAGCTAAATGAAGACTATACTGAGACACGAGAAGGTTTGGATGATATGACGCAAAACGTTAAAGAGAACCAGGCAAACAATATGCATAATGACTATAACAAAATAAAAAAAAAGGATCCTGAATACTGTGAAGTTTAAATGATCAAGTTCTGTCCTAAGGACATATAAGAATAAACCTCTGTTATTTGCAGAGGTGAGGGCTATGAGTATAAAAAAGGGGAAGGCAAACTGTTCCCCTGCACCCCAGCCTATTTTTGTACTATCTGAAAACTAAGAATGTTTTTCACATTTTTAAATACAATAAAACTTAACTCACAAACATAAAAATCATTCACAGCTTGTGGGC